AACTTATAAGGTTTTATTTGTTCTTTGCATGTACTTGGTTGATATCTCCGCCAATTTAGTAATAAGATTTTCTAACGAAGATTTATTTTCAGTTTACTGAAAACTTGGTGGTACAGTCTGATGTGGCGCAATCTGAGCTCCCAGATTGTTGCTCTATTGGAAATTTGGGTGATTCCTCCAGTTTAGGTAGTAAGTGTTAGGATTTTTATTGTATTGCTGTCTTTAAAAATTTTGAGCATAATTTACATTCTCTACTGACTGAGTTAAAGGACTACCTACGGTGCAGGCAACACTCTCATGATTTTTTCCACAATGTTTGCATTTCGGTCCCATTGTCTAGGCTGCCTTCATCTGATCCACCTTCTGTGGCAATGATGCCAACTGTGCTGAAATTATTGTCAAAGAATCAACTTCGAATTCCTAAGCAACTCTCTTTCCACTCGTCCTTTCAGTAGGCCAACGTGCACTGGTGAATGCCAGATCCTCCATGATTTGGTAGAATTGATTTGCTGTTCTTTTTGCGATAGAACCTTACATGTGGAGTCTGCATTAGCCCTATTTATCGGATTCAAACCAATGTAAAAGTACTGCACCTGGAGCCATTTCTGCAATATGTGTTGTAAGCATTGGTGAAGTAAACCATTGTATCGTTCCCAAACCTCTTAATAGCATTCTGAGTCCAATTGTTAAAATGTGGTAATCTCGTCCCTCAACTTTGCAATCCTTTTCGGTGGAAGATATTTGCTAAGGAATTTCTAACTCAATTGGTTCTATGTAGTGATGTTTAGAGGTGGACAAGTGTCTAACCATTCTCTGGCCGAGTCTCTCAATGTGTATGGGAAAAGCCCCAGTCTGATTGCTCCACTGGACATCCCTGCATACTCGATAGTTGTACACATGTCCAAAAATTTTGATATATGAGAGTTGGGATTCTCCGTAACTCTTCCAAAGAATTGTAGCGTGATTTGGAACATGTTGATCACATCAGTCCTCAGGTAGAAGTATGCCTGACCAAACGCCGGATACACTATGCTAGATTGACTTTCCACAATCGGTGGAACCATATACTCTCCCATTAGCCTTGCATTTTCATTAGCTGTAGTCACATTCGGTTGTGCTGCTTCCAGATAAGCTCCGATGACTATTTGATTCAAATTTCCCTCTGCCTTATCTTCTTGTTTCTATTTTTGGTGTGTTTTCAATTGTTATCTTTTTCGAAAGTTGAATGTCTGTTTGATCTCTAGGTCAAATTGAGCAAGATCACCGGTTTTCGAATTTCGCATACAAGGTCTTGAAAAGGTAAGCAGGAAACAATATAATTTTTTAATAAACTAACTTAAAAACAGTAAAATTCATATTAAAGTTAAAATTAACTAAACGTATCAAGAACAATAGTCCCCGGCAACGACGCAAAAAATTTGATCATTTGAAAATCCGTAAGTGAACGAGATCGTGAACAAGTAATAAAGTAGTGAATAGAATATCGAACCCACAAGGACTACATCTTTGATCGNCCACGAGGACTACGTGTTTGATCAAGTTAAAATTAATTCAAACTTTAATTGAATAGCAAACAAATTTTGTGAATTTTTAATACTAATCCCTAAATTATCAATTAAACAAATGAAAGTAAGTAAATGTGTTTTTCAAATATGTGAGATGCATTGCTAAGATATTGAATTCCTCTTATTATTTCATTTTTAGTGTAACAATGAAAGTGACAATTTGAAATCATTTATGTCGGTTAATGTTCCTAATTTAATTGAAAGCCTCTCTTGATAGCAATCAAATATATTCCTCTCATGTGACCTTTCTATTACTTGATGAAAGATGCAAATATGATAAATGTATTAACTAGTGCTAGAAAACCTATTGAGACCATATAAAGCATAGAGATGTATCACTATCCTCTATCGAACATTATAATGTTTATTATATTGTGCTTAAACCATATTGTTGCTCTCAATAACAATAAAATTCACTAATAATTCAATTGGTGATTAAGCAATTAAAAAGAACTATCAAAACGATAATAAACATCAATAAATCAAATTAAATTAAAGTCAAAATAATTAATTAAAAACTAAAAATATCATAAAATGGTTCATCTCATCCTAACAATGTATAAAATTAGCATAGTATATCGAAAATACGAGATATTGTATTTAAGTGAAAAGACATAATTCGAATTTTTGATAAATTAAGAAGATGAAAATTAATCTTGAAATTTTGAATCTATTCAATGGTTTCTTTATGAATCTCCACTTATGCCTTCTCTTCTTTACCCAAATATCAGGTTTGAATTTTCACTTGATTGAATTCTTGCAATCCTTCTTCAATTCTCTCACAAAAACTATGCATTTTCCTCGTTTAATGATAATAATTGATGAGTATTGGAGTATGAGATGTATATCAGAGGTCTCTAATACATATTCTGCTGCTAGGTATTTGTAGGAGTAGAAAACTGGTTGAAAATCAAGTCCAAATTGATTTTCAAATGAGTTCTAATCGAATAAGAAAAGTTGTCTTCGCGCGTTGATTTTTTTGTCTCTGTATAGCAGTCAGTATTTTTATCATAACTCTCTCCCAATATCCGATTGAGACGATTCAAAGTGTGTTGTAAATCTAATTCAAAGGGATACAACATTTCAAGAAATAGAAATTTTCCAATTCGAATATTTACTATGCCAAAAATGATCTCAATCTTTGACTAAAAATCTGGAATGTAACTTGTGTGATTGTAAATTGATTTAGATCATATTCAATTCCTTTTTGAGTTCTGATTTCATCCAATTGTCTCCTAACAATCTTCAAAGTATTATCTTGTGGTCTGAATCAACTATTGAATATTTATAGTTTGAACCTTAAACTTTGGATTTTGTCTTTTTTCTTTGATTTTCTTTTGTTTTTTCAAATTCTTCGTTCAACCGTTGAGTTTAAAATATATAATATAAAATACAATAATTTAGGATATATTTTTAAAAAAATTCCAAATATCAATATTTTAAGCTTCGAATAAATGTATAAAATACACTCATCAATACCCGGTATTTCATTAGAGATAATGAAGAAGCTACCTCTTTTTATGCAATATTGTCTCCTATAAATTATAATAAGCAAATAATCTCACTAACAATGAAATTTCTAGATATTACCCTTCTCTAACTCATTAAAATAGTTGTTGAAGAAATTGAAGTTGGTTAGAAGATTGGCAATAGACTTGGCTTGGGCAAGTTAAGACTTAAAAGAACATCGTGGTTTTAACATACGCATGATTGCCTCTCGAGTTTGTTTTCATGGTTGAGACAGAACTGTTTGGTATGAGTCTTGTTCTTCGGTTTGAACTATGTAAATCCCATGCCAAACTCACATCATTTTTATGCGGGATTTACCTTTAGTTTGAGGTGAGACTTCTTTTATAAACTCGAAAATGATTAAAAATTATCCTCGATAAAGTGTGATCATATGAGCTTATCCCTTCAATTAACTCTGGCCTTATGCGACCCGTGCTCTTTTCTTAACTCGAACCTAATAAATTTTTTGTGTCAACTCATCATGTTTTATCAGTATTGTCAAGTGTCACTTGAAATTAGTGCTTCATATACCGCGTCAAATTGATCAACATAATGAAATTAACGTGTTTCCTCAATCATCGAAGTCCAAACTCACTAAATTAATCTTTTCTTCCACCCTTTTCCAACTCTTCAAAGCAAAGGTTCCAACTTTCGGACAATAAAGAGAAAAGGATGCTTTTTGCAAAGGAAATGGTATTTCGTGACTTGTGCTATAAGGTATTTTCTATGCATTAAGAGAAGCATAAAATTTATTATTTTACACAAAATTCGGCTTTTTAAGGGAATAATTTGCTTTAGTAAACGTATTGTTGTTTATGGGCCACACTCATAATTTGAACTAAATGTAGACATATTCATTGTTCTATTACCACACTTTTTATTGATTTTTAACAAGTAAAATGGGCTAATCAATTTGTTGTCCATAAACTTGATCCTAATTGGATGATAAGATTATTACTATATAAATAAATTATGGAATTAGCAAACAAACAAAAATGGATTATACTACATGTACCGAATTTTCTTACAAAATCTTTTACATCTCACTCACAATAGAAGGTGGGAGCCACTTGTCAGCATTATTTAATACATGTGGGGGCTGCGCCTCATGTGAGAGGAGGGACTTAAGGTATAAATTTGATCGATTAGATTTTTTTTTTTTTTTTTTGGACAAAATTAATTATTTTGCCCCATGTTTTGACTTGGTGGTGAACAAAAAACTGGTTCAGTGTGTACAAATCATAGTATTGATTTGGTATTATCTTAAAAGTCTTTGCAATAATACAACATTATATTCAACCAGAACAATCGTCATTCTATGTAGCGAGGTCGACTAGGTAATACCAATATCATTAAAAAAATTAATTAAGAATTTTTCTTGAAAACTACATAAAATAATAAAAAGAAAAAGGATTGTGTCCCACCATCACCATTATTACACAGCATAGTCTATGGTAAGGGGCCCTTTTAGTCAATGTAAAATATTGAAACTTGTTTGACTATTTCTTTTTCCTATGGACCCACTTTCTTCCTCTAAATTCCAGCACCACCAATACTCTGTTTCCAACTGGACAATTTGTCTAACAAACATCGACTCTCACCGTTTACCGCGTGTCTTCACTCATCTCTTGAATAATGCTATTCGCGAGATTTGACCTATGAAATAATAAAAAATTATGACGTTAAAGTATTAATTGTATGTCACGTAGATAAGAGCGAGCGTAAATAACGTTATTTTTATCTTTTAGTCCAAAGCTAAATTTAGCAGGTGAATTTCACGCTGTATGAGATTTGACTTAATGTAAACATTTTTGCTAAGCAAAACAATGTTATAAAGTGATGCAAATATGAAGAACTCTCATTTCTTTTATTTCTAACCAGTACTTAAGTTTTCTTCATATCATTATTCCCCAATCAGTCTTGAGGATGGAGAATTCGCCTAAATTACAAGAAAACCAAAGCCCATTTCTAGTTCCATCCCCGATCAGTCATAGTTCGAACAGTTCTAGCAGTGGCACCACCCACATAAATGGCCTCCACCACCCATCTCCTCTGGCTTCACAGCCGTCTCAACCACCCATAACCAGATCGGAACTAAACAGCCAGCATCCGACCACCTTTGTCCAGGCGGACACATCCTCGTTTAAGCAAGTGGTTCAAATGCTCACCGGATCGACCGAGACGGTCCGTCACTCCTCCCGACCTGAGCCGGTGAAGAACCCGATTCCTCCCATGAAGACTGGGCTGAAGAGGGATAAGTCAACCTCTAAACTGTACGAGCGAAGAAACAGTCTCAAGGACTTTAAGATCAGCCCTCTTGGACCTGGACTGGTCAACACAAGACCTAGATTCTTCTCTGGGTATTCGGGTTCGCCCCGAATGGGAACTGCAGAAGTTATATCTCCCAGTATTCTTGACTTCCCGTCTCTGGTGCTCAGCCCGGTTACACCTCTGATACCCGACCCTTTCAACCGGTCACCGAACGATGGAGTGAGCTCGTCAGCAGAAGACAAGGCAATTAAAGAAAATGGATTTTACTTGCACCCATCGCCGGCGAATACTCCGAGGGATTCGGAGCCCCGACTATTACCATTATTTCCGGTCACCTCACCGAAAGTAGCAGGTGCAGCAGATTCTTGAGTGAGTTTCCTTTTCCATTTTGAATTAATGTACTCTTTTTGTGATTTGGAATTACTATATATGATCTAATTAACTCAGAACCAAAATACAGTCCATAATTTCTTTTTAAAATTTTGTTGTGTTTTAATTTATTAGATCAGATCGCTTCTTTTTAGCTTCCGATTGTCTCCATTAAAATTATAATATATATTTTTCTCTTTTTATCGGTTACACATTTTTTCGTAAAATAATATTACACATAAATTCAATTTTTTCTGATCCCACATTCATTAAAAAAAAAAACTTTCAAAAATTATAATTTCACAACGGCACTAAATTTATGATAGAATGAACGATATACAAATATTCCGATGTAAAAATGAAAGTGCTTATATGGGAATGAGGTAGGGAGGCTATAAGTGGGAAATGGGCCTAGCTGTTCTGTCAATGGAAGAGTAAAAAATGGCAAGTAATCTCTCTTTGTTTGTCTTTTGATCATTCGATAAGGCCTATGTGATATTTTTTATTCGATAATGTTGCGTAGCATTATTGGTGCTAGAGCTCCAATTTACATAAAATTATGTGATGTGTTTAAATAAAGGTGAAATTATGTTATTCATTTAATTGTATATTTTATTTAATGACACTTAGCCTCTGTTTGGTGATAATTAAAATCAGATTTTTAGTAAATTTTGATAAAAGTCGATGAAATGTGTGATTGAAAATCCATAAAATATGTACTTAAAATTAATTGTTGAATTTGACTTTTAATTTTTACCAAATAGGGTTTTAGTGTCACCTAAATGGATGTTGTAACATCAATAATGCTAAATATTATTACTCGTTTTTATTTAATGTGGTGATAATGAACCCAACGACACATTGACTGACTAATAAAGCAGCTTAAAGATAGTTGCATAGTTTGGGGCCATATGAATCTCCTTTCTTCGTAGTTAGACAGATAATTAAGGTGCATCAATCAATGCCACAACAAACCCACTGCGGTTATTGAATTTTAATGTATTAATTCTTATTTTCTGTCTTTTTGGTTACTTTTATTACTTATTATCAGGACAACATATATACAACGGCTGGCAGGCACGGAATCAATGCCATCTAAATTTTAATTTGGAATGTGCTTTTAATGTTGGCAACTTACTATTGTTTCGGATTTTGCTATTTGTACAGTTATTCATAACAACTTTGTTGACAATTAACAAAAAATTGTTGGCTACACAAATAACTTGTTATTAAAACTGCTAAATGACATAATATCACGTGGTATTCTGTAAACAAAATTGCACACCAAGCGTGACTCTTATTGCTTCGCTAGAGAATAAAAAATTTACCGGTCATTCATCAACTTTGGATCCTAGTTCCAAGTCATAAAAGGCTTATCTACAAGTCTACAACAGGCATTCAAAAGGTGCTAGACAAAGAAAGAGCAGAACAAGAAGACTTCTGTTTTATTTTTTGGGTTCTGGGCAGGGTTGGTGAGATCTGGACCTGGAAGTACAGTTGAAATTATTTAGTATAATGTTAGTATTAGTTTTGATAAGAGGAAATTAAATGATAGGAGGGGACCATGAAAGCAAAACCTACAATTCAGTTTTTTTTTCTTTAGGGTCGGGTACTTGAATTATGTCTCAAAACACTTATTTCTCTCTTTGACTCTAAACTGAAGTTGATACGTGGGGTTGGAAGTGGGATTCTTGATGATGATCATGAAGACAGAGAAATAAAAATGCGGGATAATGTGTGTTGAATTTAAATGTAGTTTACAAAGAGTAAAATTATGGTTGCGTTCTTATTCATTCTTCTATTGTCGTAATAAATTTGTTTTAGAGATTATTGATCAAGTGAATAAATCTACTATTTCGTGTGTAAATGTGAAGCTTTAAATTATGTGGTCAAAGAGGAGGAAAATAATTAATAATTAATAAAGGAAATATTCTATGAATAAATAAAAAAGTTGAAGTACTAGCTAAATTCTCACTTTCCAGAACATGGGAAAACATCTGGTTTATAACATTTTGTTAAACCGAAAAAAATATTACAACAAAATTGAAAAGAAGCATGTAATTCTTCATTTCGAACTTCAATGTTGATTTTGGCATTTATTTAGTTCTGTCTAGTACTGTTAACAATTAATTTTAATCACATATTTTATAGGACTCGTAACTTTTCAACCACACATTTAATCAATTTTTATCAAAATTTACTAAAAATCAAGTTTTACCAAACATGGACATAATGCAAAGTCCAAAGCTCATGACATTTTGATCTTTTATTATTATTATTATTATTATTATTATTATTATTATGTAGCAAGGCATACTCGTGTTGGAAATTTTGAGGGTGACAAATATTTCAAGGAAAACTAAAATGCCATTACAAAGAGTTGTCACAATTTCTATTTGTTTTAATTCTGCATCTATTTTAACGTTAATTTAAGTTATGCCTTAGCTTACAATGGTACATGTTACGCTTCGCCATCTGGCGTTCCACGTGGCTGACCCGCCAAAGCTTCTTTGCCGAATTCACGTGGTCTCCCACATGGAGTGCATACGAACTATCAAACTCCACTAAATCTGGAGCATCGAAGTGGTTCCATGGAATGGACTTGTCGAAGTGATAAAGTTCAAAGAAGTCAAATCCAAAACTCTACCAGACAAGTGACGACCTCGCTAATAGTCAGCCAAGTTAATGGCAACTTCACAGCAAGGGATGAGGGCATGGCCGCGTACCTCAAATTGGTAAGGATCTACTCCTATCTTTCAAAAAATTCGGGTTGGCTCAAATCCTACGTATAGAAAATGCCCACACTGATGTCTTGTCCAAGCCAACTAGTAGTAAGAACTCAAAACTACTAACGTTTGTGCAGAATGAATACCTCTCAGTGCCCTCCACTACTAAGGGAAAAAGGCAATGTAGGTAGAAAGAACACTTATATGGATGCAACCCATAGTAGTTTTCCTCAAAGATCAGGTTCTTCTCGATAACAAAGAAGAAGCCTACAAGCTTAGGAGAAGGGCAACCTACTTCGTATTACAGGATGACGTGCTCTACAAAAGAGGTTTTTCCTTATCCTTCATTCGATGTGTCGGAGGTAAGGTACCCACCTAGATCTTCCACGAAATCCATGATGGAGTTTACGGAAACCACGCTGGAGAACCTGAGTTGGCACAAAAAGCACTATAGCAGGGATACTATTGGCCCACAATGGAAAAATATGTTATCCAATTTGCATGAAAGTACGATAAAAGCCAATGTTTCTCTCCCATCCAAAGATAACCTTCCCAAAAACTAAAACAGTATCCAATCCATGGCCGTTTGCCAAATGGAGAATCGACCTTATAGGCCCCTTACCCAATGGTAGACGTAGTGTAAGCTTTGCTATCGTCGCCATTGATTACTTCACGAAGTAGGTTGAAATCGAACCTCTGACTAAGATTACAGAAGCCAACACTTCTAAATTCTTGTGGAAGAATATTATATGCCTGTTCGAAATTTCCCATTCAATCGTCTCAGATAATGGAAGGTAATTCGATAACAAAAAGGCCAAGGACCTATGTGAAGAGTTGGGAATCAAGAAACATTTTTCAAAAGCTCATTATCCCCAAGTAAATGGGCAAGTAGAGGCCGAAAAAAAGACCATCGAGTATACTTTGTAAAGAAAACTTAACACCTCCAAAGGTGAATGGGTTCATAAACAGCTATAGGTATTGTGGGCAATCCAGACCTCAACAGATGAAACCCCTTTCTCAATGGCCTACGGTGCTGAAGCAATGAGCATAGTGGAAGTCAGATTATCCTTTCTCCATTGATTGTAATTCAATGAAATATCCAAGACGAGTTGATAAGATGTGAGCTCGATTTCCTCGACGAAAAGATGGATGAAACTCAAGTGAAAGTAGCTACATATCAAAGGAAGATGACCCGTTACTACAATGCGAGACTAAGAGAAGGTCATTCCAGATAAATGACCTAGTACTTCGAGGTTTTCCTATCCTCTAAAGAACTAGGGGTAGTTATGTTGGGTCCAAACTGGGAAAGTCCATACCGTAAATATGGGCTTCTTGGCTGGAAGATATTTCCCAACCCATGTAAATATTTCGAAGTGATATAATAAAAGTACGTTTTGTTTAAAAAAGTTAAAGCACGTGCCTCCCATGACGAAATTGAATGTCATGGAAGAAACCTCTACATGGATGAACCATCCACCATGTATAGAAACATGGGCACCTCGGAAAAGAGGATTAAATCCTTAAAGGAATTACCTTATTGGTTCTTCGAGGAATACAACACATGCCTCCCATGTTGAAGCTAATGTCATGGGAGAAATCCCTACATAGATGAACCATCCACCATATATGGAAGCTTGTGCGTCTTAGAGAAGAGGATTAGATCCCTAAAGTGATTACCTCATTGGTTCTCCGAAGTGTACAACATATGCCTATTATGACGAAGTTGAACGTCATGGGAGAAGCCCTTACATGGATAAATTATCCACCATATATGGAAGCGTAGACGCCTCGTAGAAGAGGACCAGATCCCTAAAGAGATTATTTCATTGGTTCTTCGAAGCATATAATATATGCCTTCCATGACGAAGTTGAACGTCATGGAAGAAGTCCCTATATAGATGAACCATCCACGTGTATGTAAACATCTGTATCTTGGAGAAGAGGATCAGATCCCAAAAGGGATTACCTTATTGGTTCTTCGAAATGTACAACACATGCCTCTGATGACGAAGCTAAACGTTACTAGAGAAGCCCCTCTATGGATGAACCATCCACCATGTATGGCAATGTGGAGCCTCGGAGAAGATGATCAGATCTCTAAAGGGATTACCTCATTGGTACTTCAAGGAGTACAACACATGTCTCCCATGACGAATCTGAATGTTAAGGGAGAAGTAGAAATAATATTGAAACGTGCTTGAAGTTCCATATGTTCTCAAGTTTAATAATGTTTGAAGGATCATTCATCTTTGGAGGTCATTATATTTACTTTAG